TCATGTCTCTCCCATTTCTGAATTTCAAAGGAGGCTGATTAAAAAAAAATTAAAATGAAATTACCTGTGACATGTAAAGCCTTAGGATATGCTTTATCAAGTATACTGCCCTTCTTTTATAAAAAAAAAGGTGCTAAAAAAAAACCCTCCCAAATAAAACCATATGCCATCAATTTGTTGTTATAAACTGTTTTAAATATGCATATCAGTCATTATCCAGATTATTTATCTAGAGAAGTCTATATCCACTCTCACTAATGGATTTTCAGCCCACAGATACAAATTACAGTGTGGTTAAACTACATGTTCCCCAGAACATCTTATTAACTTGACTCAATTCATAGAATAGTTTTGAGTTGGAAGGGACCAAAGGTCTTCTAGCCCAGCCCCCCTACAACAAGCAGGCACATCTTCAATGAGATCAGGTTGCCCAGAACCACATCCAGCCTGGCCTTGTATGCCTCCAGGGATGAGGCATCCACCACCTCTCTGAGCAAACTCTGCCATTATTTTACAATCCTCATTGTGAAGAATTTTTTCCCTGTCTCCAGCCTGAATCTCCCCTCTTTTAGTTTAAACCCATCACCCCTCATCCTATTGCAATAGGCCTTATTAAAAAGTCTCTCCCCATCTTTCTCATTGTCTCCTTTTAAGGACTGAAAGGTCACAATAAGGTCTCCCCAGAGCACAGCTTTCTCAGCCTCTCCTCACAGGAGAGGTGCTCCATCCCTCTAATCATTCTGTGGCACTCACCTGGACCTCCTCCAACAGGTCCATATCTTTCCTTTACTGAGAACTCAAATGACATGTGCTAAAGGCAACAGGCAGATTACTGGAGTAAATTGGAAGAACATCAGTAAGTAAACATTAATCACTTGGGAAAGCTGCCCCCAAGGAAAAGGTCAATGAAAGGGCAAAGAAATACAACATTTGTTCCCAAAACACTACTGAAGGTGGCCATGAAACAGAGAACATACACAAATCAGTCCTAACACTCCAATAACACTCCCATAGATAAAAATAATTAGTTGCCTAAATAAACATATTACCTATGCTTTAAGAGAAGACAAAGTCAAAATTATGCTATTCAGTACCTTAGACTTTCAAGCTTTATGACTTTTTCATATATTTCACAATGTAGAGCTACTTCAAACAAAAATATTTCTAACTCCATTTTGTACAGGGGTGCATGAAACAAAACTATACATTTCTCAACCATCTATTCTTAAGCAAACCTTTTACAACCCCTCATCAGTCAAGGTTTTTTTTCAGGAAGATTTCATTCTCATCCTCACCTGAAGCACATCAAAAAGCAAATCAAACATTACTTCTTTTTTTTTTCCTTCTCTTTTGAATGATGAAAAGGAGAAGAGATTAGATGTATTTTAAATGTATTTTAATCTTAATGAAATTGTATAAACCAACTTGTATCAGAAAACAGTGGTTAAACTGAAGTCCCACAATATGTTCCAGATTCTGGTATACAACTGGAGTAAATTATTAGTTCCACTTAATCCAGTAGACAAACTGATTGATTTAAGAAATTCAGAATTTCCAGGACTCCCCACACAAAAAGCATAAAGAAGCAGGCTTCCAGAAAGTGACTGTGTGAATAAGATGCACATGCTGGCATCTCTTTCTGGGGGTGTTTCTTATTAACAAACAGTCCCTTATAAGCACTTGTAAAGAGGAACTCTTCAGGAAAAAAATAAAAAAAAAAAAAACTCAGTATCAATGCAGTGCAAAGAGGAAACTTACAGCACAATGACTGAGTAAATACTCACTCCTACGAAACTCCTGGATGAGCACAAAATAGATTAAATTCTACAGCAAGACATTTTCTACTGCACCTTAAAAAATGCATACTATGATAAAAGAAATAGGATTTTGCAATCTGGAAAGATGTCCATTTTATCCACTTTAAGTCGGTCTCCCCAGACACTGGTAAAAACCAATGAAGCTTCGTCTTCCATCACTACATATGTTAAAAAGCAGGTTTACAGAGTGGAGTAGACTATTTTGTTGGGAGTGTGGGGGTGTGTTTTGTTTCACTTTTTTATTAAAGCAAAGCTAATTAAATCTGGGCCTTTTAGTCTGGATGAATTTTCTGTACAGCTTTCAAAGGTTAACAAAAGAAACCAATCCTTTTGTTTTACCATAACAACACTGCCAGTTAAACCTCTCCCCTTGTGATGAAATTAGTAGAGAGAATACCCAGCCATGGAAAATAATTATGACACTCAAGCTCTTAACTTTATGCAGCTGGGGGAAGGGTCTGCTGTCTGCTACTGATTTTCAAACTTCTCTGATTTTCTAGAACAGAACAAACACACTAAAGGTCCCTCTTCACAGTCTTTTACCACCACTACTTCCCAAAGAACAAAAAAATCAGTCACTCTTCACAAAATCTACTGCAGCTGTATTCTTAGAAATATTAAAGTCTTAGGTTAAGGATTTATATCTCCAAAGCAAACAATCCAAATCTAGTTATTTACTTTTTCTTAACCATCCACACTCCCCTCTATCAACATCAAAAAACTTATAATCATTATTTAACAATCAGGTAACACTGGGTGTCTTAAAAACAAACAAACAAATGACCCCCCCCCCAAGCACCAGAACCTTTAGTTGATGATATGTTCCCCACCACTGCATTCCCAAAAGATAAATCCCAAGAGCTTTTGGAATAGCCTTTCAAATTCTTTTAATCACTTCAAGAAATTGTCAATTACTTAAAGGAGGTGCCAAAAAGAAAATAAAAGATTCACAATAAACCCCTCACCACAGTGATGCTTCTTAAAATAAAAAAAGAAAATAAAAAAGAAAATAAAAAAAAAAGCAAGCAGCACTGAAGAATTTCCTTCTCCCACAGCACCCTGAATGGCAAGTTTCCAAATGCAGATTTTTTTTCTGCTCCCATTTACTATCCCCTTCTGCAGACTGAGGCAGCATGTTCCTGTTATTTCTGCAGCCAGTTCAAAAACCTTACTCTTCCCCTCACCAACACAACACAATTCCTTTATTTGGAAAAAAAAAAAAAAGATGCTTTTTCAAAATTTAGTCTAATATAAATTATGATCAATATTAGACATATTCAGCTTTTCTCACCTTCTTTCCATCTACCTCCATAGCTATCCCCCTATATTTTTTGAAAACTCAGCTTGGTAGCATTTAGCATTTCACTTCATTATTTATTTCCTGACACCTCTGATAGTAAAACACCAAAACTATGTATGTAATCCTCCCACGCTGCAGTAATCACACTTCAAAAACTAGCTTGCTACCGTTCCTCCATTATAGGCACCACATCTCTACACACATTACACCTAGGTAGATCAATGCAAAGGAGGCTTTCCAGTCCTCCTCTTTCTTTGCCATCCTCGTACTGGCTATGTGGAAAAACCTCCGGACTGTTTCTGAATCGCTGCTAATCAGGAGACCTCCAGAGCTCAACCTGAGGTGTCAAACACAGAAGCATTTCTATATAAATTGAGAGCATCTGGTGGCTCTTTGCTTCTTACCAACGAGAGAAAACGTCTGTGTAGTATCAAGGCCCAGCGATAACTGCACTGAAGAAGACCTTCAGAGCTCTGGTCTTAATACCTCCAGACATAATAACCCCCCTCACCCGCCCCTTTTCTCAAGTGCAACAGGTCTCGCTTCTCCCATACATGACCCGGTGCAGGCTCGGGGCGCGGCATCCAGCTCTGGCGCCCGGAAGCGGGCGCACTCGCGGCTCCCATCGCTCGCCCGACTCCGGCGCCCGCCGCCCGTCCCGGCGCGGGGCACTGCCCGCGCACGGGCGGCCGCCGTGGAGCTCTGCCGCCCCCTGCTGTAAGGCAGCTGCACCAGGGGCCGAGGGACGGTCCCCGCCGCTCCCTCCGCGGACACCCGGGGGGGTTGGAGGATTGGGTTTTTTTTTCCCCTCCCATAAAACCGCCCCAAACAGCCCCTCAGGGGCGGGCAGCGCAGCGCCTTGGGCGCCTCACGGCGGGCTGGCGCCACGCAAGAGGCACTGAGAGCACGGTCCCGCTACGAACAAGCGGCAGAAACTTGTCCCAGCGGTTATCGCTCACCCTGGGGCACCCGCGCCGAGCCACGCCGCTCTCGGAAGCCCTTCCCCGCCCCGTTCCCTGAAGTAGCAGAAATCCTGAAGTGACCACACCGACGACATTCAGAATAATTAAATAAATATTTCTTAGCACAAACACACCCCAAAAAAGCCACGAACAAAATATATCAGCTACGACACAGCCCCCGTATTTTACGAAGCGCTGTATGTACGCCCGTACACAGGCACATACATATGCAAAAGCAGAACCGCGCCCAGAGGCGTAACCTCAGCGCGCCCGTCTCCGCACACACCTGCCCTCGCCGCGCTAATTCATCTCACAAACTCTGCTTCCGCGCAGACGTCCGTGGTTGTGCCGGTGCCACCGCCACCAACCCCAATCCCCCGGGCCGGCGGACTCTGTGTCCCCCGCAGAGCGAGAGGAACGGGCTTCGGAAAAGGAGACACCAACCTCGCCAGGCAGACTTAATTCAGGTCGGAAGGCTCACTGCCTCCGCCGACAGCACTTCTCTCCGGCTCTAAAAGCGAAGCCCACGCTGCCTTCCCCTTAGGCAGAAGCGTATTTTAAAGCACGATCCCTGACAGATATATATGTATTTTAAATCGTTTCATCTCCTTCACAGATTTACCGCCCCCGAAAAAGACGAAACCCCCATGCAAAGCAGCCAAGTGCACTTAGCACCTTCTAGCTTGCCTTTTGAGGTTTTTCCCTCATAAATGATACCTCTTGAAGACTTAAAAAAAAAAAAGGGGGAAGGTGAAGGGGGAAGCTATGAAGCAAGTTTTACACCCCTTTTAACTCGGCGCCAGGGTCAAACACTGCTTTATTTTTTCTCCATTTCTTTACTGGTTCTATGTTAATTTGAGCGAGCGGACTGTATAGGCAAGAATAATAATTAAAAACAAAACCAGGTAGCCCCGCTCCTACCTTGCCCGCTACTGAGGAGCAATCCGAGCAGGTAGAGAGGCAGAAGACTCATGTTCAGCAGCTCGCACCGGTGGACAGTTCCAAGTTAGAGGTGCTCAACCAGACCAGGCAAACCCCCGCTGCCGTCCACGCAGCCACTCCGCACCCGCTAAGCGGACCTCACCAACAGCCGGTCACCTCCTCCCCGTGCCGCACTATATCTGGGAGGCAGCGACCGCCGCGCAGGGGGTGGGCACACGGAGGACTACGCGTATCCCTCCGCGCCGCACGCAGGAGCGAATCGCAACCGTGGAGAGAGCGTAGTGCCGGTGGATTCCTCCGCTGCGCTGAAAGGCGGCAGCGGGCTCGAAATGTCCCTGTATTCGTCCGTCTGTCAATCGCCGCCCGCTGCCAGCACCCGGGGGGATCGGGGAGAAGAAACAATTCCCCTCCCACGCCACCGCTGCCCTTCGGAGCCTGTTTTCCCTCACCGTCGCCTGAGGGGAGACAGTCTAAAGGGAGAGTTGGATGGATGGGAGAATCCTACCGGGAAGCCCCAGCTCTCCAGGGCACGGAGAGCCGAGAGCGGCTCTTCGGCCGTGAGCGCCAGCGGGGCACATCGAGGGGGCTGTCGCCCCCTGCCGCCCCCTGCCGCAAGGCACCGGTGCGCTTGAGCGGAGCAGAGCGGAACGGAGCGCAGGGGCGGAGGTTGCGCGGGGGCTGCACGCGCGGCCCTAACGTTGCCCCGCGCCTCCCTCGTTGGTCCAATACCGCAACGTCGGTGGAAGCGGGCGCGTCTGTAACTGGCCACGTTGGGCATGTACCTATTGGTTTGGATGTCTGGAAACTCGGGGATTGGGTAGTTTTTACTTTTGCTGTTAGCACAGAGGGGAAGAATACTTCTGCTTTTTACGATGGTGAAATAAAACCGTCAAAAAATAAATTACTTACCTTTTCGATGCCTCGGTGCCGTCTCACCGAAGATCCTGCTTCGTGAGGAAAAAACAAAAACTAAACAAACCCCCCCAGAACGAAACACACACATACACAAGCAAAAAAAACCCCACCTAAACAAAAAAAAACCTTTAAAACAAACAAACAAACAACAAAAAAAAAAAAGCAACAAGCCCGTGATAAAGAGTTCGGGGTATGTCCAGCTCGACTTTGAAGAGGGACTTTTTTTTGCGGGGGATTGAGGGAGTGTTTATGAAGCTGTAGTCTCCAAAGAAGCTTCTATGAATTTCTGACCTTACATCTGTATGATAAAGGAAGGAGATTGAAGTGGATTTATTTTAATGTGAAGCAGCAATGGTAGTAGTTAGTAAAAGATTAATCCAAATTAACACATCCCTACTAATTTTTACTTTTTTTTTTTTTTTTCCCCCAGACAATTTGGGGTTTGGGGAGGAGGAGGGAGACAAGGGGTGCCTGTGCTGAAAGCTAGTGCAAATTACATGGTTGGTATCCCAGCCTGACTTTCGCTGCACAGTAGTCTTACAGATTCATGAAATACAGGAGGAAGAAGTTATGTAGTCAGATCTTGCTTGGATTGACAAGATGGATGATAAAACTGGAAGATGATGCTTTAGGACACTTGGGAACACGTGCAGAAAATGCTGGCAGAGGGGAAAGCGAGAGCTTTGTGCTGCTGGTTGGTTAATCCATATCACGTAAATCAGAACCTTATTGCTCAGCTACAGACCACATGGCCCTGCTCTTGAACCTGAAGGTTTTTGTAACCTAGTATAAAATTAATAGATTCATTTTTGAGTGTGTATAAATGGGAGTGGAACCATTATTCCTCATATGGTTTTGGAAATCCAAAATATGGCATCATTGGCAAAGCCTTTTAGGTGAGAACTGGGTTTCTGTTTAGGAGCCATTCCGCTCTTGAGTGTCAGAAGAGGTGCCTAATAGCAGAAACTTGGCTGGAGCCTCTAGAGCAGGTTCAAGAAAGCACAGCAGAAGGAAGTATTTTGTTGAAGGAGTTTTCCCACGTAGAAAGAGTCCGTCAGCCCCACTACCCAGCTACAGAAATAGACATCATTAAGAGATTAATACGGAAAGATGATGAAAGCAAATATTAGATAAAAACCTTAATAGAAAAAGAAATAGAAATCTTAATGGGCAAAAAGTAAGAAACCCTCATTATGAAGTGGGTAGGATGCCAAATTAATCTTTTTTTTCTATTGCATTTGAAGCATTACCATCCAGCAAAAGTGGACTAAATAAAGAAAAATCAAAATAGTATTAATAAATAAAATGAAATAAGTTGTGCTCAGACTTTAACATCTGTTATAACCTGCTTTAATTAAGGGCCAAAAGCAGTAGAAAAGTACTTTGAGAAGTGTGGATGCAAAGATTGAAATCCACGTAAAGCAGATGCCCCACCGAGACAATATGGAAGCTAGTGGGAGGGCTCTTCCTTCACAAGAATGAAGCATAACAAGGAATGCTACAATCCCAATCTTACTGGTTTTAAATAGTAAATATGATGAGAATTTCACCAGTGGCCAGTTCTTGCTTCTTTGAGAAGGCATGAGGGTGCTTCACTTACAAAGAGGATTCCTTGTCCTGAGAAATCTGCCTAGTTACTTGTCTGCAGCAGTCAACAGAGCCCACCACGCAGGCTGTCCATGCCATACTGCTACAGGACTTGAAGAAATCTGGTTTTAGTCTAGCTTCTCAAGGAGAAAAGGGACATGCTCTTTCCCTCTCTGAAGCAATGGATATAGAACAGAAGATGGATATATATCTAGAAGATAACTACATTCTTGTAGTGCTATGGTAAAATGCAGAAATGTCACTGAAAGAAGAGGCAGCCCCTGGTTTGTGTGTTGGTAGACGTGTGGCTCTAAGTACTCTTGTCACATCCACCACCTAAAAGGTATATCCACCCCTCCTAAGACCATGCAGTGGAGGGAGGGAGAGGAGGGGAGAAAGTAAGAAGTATGCAGGGCTTCATTGCTTCTGCTGCTTATGAAACAGAAAAAGTCATTTGTCATGGAAGAAAGATCTGTTAAAAGTATATTATAGTGAACCAGGGCAGCATATCACACTGAGGTCATGCAAACAGAGATTAGAAAGGTGTGGGAAAAGTGCTCAGCTTTTCTGCCCTCGGTATGACTCCTTGTGTTTCTGATCATACGTTGTGAACCAAAAGATGAGCATTTCAAAGCACTGTAAAACACTAATCAAACAACACAGCTCTAGTATTTGCCATTTCTTTGGCTAATAGCAGTTTTCTTTAGAGTGTGCTGTTTACCATTGGGGAAGCCTGACATGGAGTTTAGTGGCTATACTTAGACTAGGGAATTAGAAAACATGATTTCTGGATAATATCACATGCATAACAAATATGCTGGCAGAAAACGAACACATTTTCATGCAAAATAAGTTTTACAAATAAGACTAGGAGTAAACTGCAGTGGCTATTATCCTGTGTGAACAACCAAGAGGTGCAACATCAAGAAGTAAAATAATCATTCTGTCAGGGCAGTTATTCCAAAAGTGCGGAAATCACCTTCAATAGGTACTCAGAGCAATTAAAATACAACTCAGTGACTGAAAAGACTTTCTGGAAAAATCTGAGGGGAAAAGAAAGGAAAATACTACCTAATATTACATACATGTTTGATTAATACCTTAGATCTTTTGGGATACCATGCTCAAAATCTAAGTGGATATATTTCTAAGTTCTCGATCTTTTATCTGCCATACAATAGCCTCCAGCTTTCACAACTGTACTGTTATATGCAGCTTTTCTCCTACAAAGTTCTACTACCTGTGAATTTAGCAAAAAGACAGCAAGAATTAATTTTCCCCCGTCTTACTGACGTGTTTCGCTCAGCGACATTGTTTATATAGTAGCCTATCAACCTTTATGAATAAAAGTGGCAAAACTGGGCTCTGGCAGGTGAAGCATTTTAAGCTTTCATCACTGCATTTATGTCAGTTTACAAGAACTGAGGATCTGTAAACTTGCGGGGACTGAACTTGTTTGTCAAGAAACATCTCCATGGTATTTTTACAAGTATTACTTTATTTTTAAATTGATTGATGATTGCATGCTCAATGCAAATGTGATTAAATACAGAAACTTAAATCTTGATGATGATTTCATAATGTATATTTATACTGAAATGCATGTTTCCCTGTGGACACCCAAGTTGCCAAGAGATCCAGCTGAATTTTTGCTTAGCTGCTTTACATAAACTGAAATGTTAAGGAAGCACCTTAAAATAAGAAGAGAATTTTAGGGCAACTTATGATAAGGGCACAGTTACAAAGAAAGCACAGAGAGACTATATGTCTAGAAATAACTGATGAAGAGTGGTAAGAAAATTGGCATGTCCTAGAGCAATTATCAAATGTATTCTGGGGACAGGAAAGGAGAGAGAAAAGGAAAAGAGAAAAGACAAAATGCCCCTCTTGTAAACCCAGTATGTTGCACTTGCGGGAAAATGCCTTCTGCAGATAGGGCAATTTTCAGAGGTGCTCATGAACCAAATTGCTGATCATTTCCAAAGTGAGTAATTATCCCAAATAGGATGCTTTCCCGTGAATACTGAAAACACAATTAAAGTGGCACTAAGATAAATTATACAACAGTGAACAACAGCATTATTGCAGTGAGGAAATGATGCATAATAAACAAAAGATTTTCATAACTGTTTGCACCACTATTATGTTTCAAGTTCTTAACATCTTACAGAGATTTTCATAAAATCTAAAATTACTAGCATTTTGAATTAACATTTTATGAAAAAGAGTCAAAACCATTGTTTCCAGTATGTTTCGAGTCACCTTAAATAAAGAACTCTCCTTCCTGGTAGAGAAACTTGATCTTGAAATTATTCAGATACTAAGAAGAGACTCATGGATTTTGTGTAGGGAGGATAATTCCCTGTATGATTGCTGGAACTAGACAATGACACGGACATCTGTAAAATGATTTTGCCCAGGTACAGATAACTGCTTAATTTTTGAAGATGACAGGGTTGCTTGAAGTACAATGTGCTAATTTGGTTACAATATAAAATATTGTGCTGACAAAAGAAATCAATAAGCTGAATTTGTATGTCTGAAGGAAGCGTTGAACACCTCTATGTCTAGTGCAGCAAAAGCAGCACTTGAGAGATGAGACAGGGTAACTCGTGTGAACTGTAGAGCCAGTTTTTTGTATCTTCCAGCTTACCGCATTTTTAGACATGTGGTTCTAT